CACAGGGAGGAGTACCATAGTCCACGTCCGTACTTGCGGACACTAATTTCAAGAATAAAAAAAAAAAAATAAAGAGCAGGACAAGCTCCTCCTGCAGCGTGCGCTCGTTGCCCGCCGCCGTGCTTTGGCTGTGCGTGCACCGAGCGGTACGGAAGTAGATACCTCGCGCTCAAGTCAGATATTGAACTGATCATCTTATATTGCAGCAGACTATATTGCATCAGTGCTTAGTGAAAAAGCAGGTCGACAACATGATTAACAATCTGCTGAATCACTAAGAACGAATGAACTGACAAGTTTACTGTTCGATGTTTGGTTTCCGTACACCAACCTTTTCTAACTTCGAGACTGGAAACGTCTTTTATAATGACTAGAAAAGTTTAATATAATCACGTAGATAAAAAAAAAGTGATATTGTCTCGGCCTGTTTTATTTGAAGAAATTAAGCGCTCGAGAATTATTTTCATAGACCAGCCTAGGCTGACTAGAAAATTTCGTTAGATAAAGTACTCATTTACAGCATTTCAAAATATTGACCTTATGAAATAAACATTTTGTTATAAGGACATTTGCTTACGACGTTCTCAATGTATGAGAATGGTGAATGCCAGACTTCAAATAATGTTTGATATTCATCTTCCGTAAAATTTGCCGAATAAAATTGAAGAGCGCAGAAGAAATTATCTCCGATAAGTTTGGCTGAAGTCGAACGCCAGGCGCCACCCAATGGACCTTTGTAGAAAGCTGTTCACTGATTTGAAACGATGCGCTTTGCACATTTTGACGTCGCCATCTACTGAAAGTAACTCCCTATTCGAAGCCGACAACCGGCTACACTCGGGTGATTTTCATGCAGAAGAATTCTTTTCGGCGTCACGTTTTATGAATCATAGGCTCTATCAAGTAGTCTGTGGCAGTTTCTTACGCGGGGAGTTCAGATATTTGTGGTAAAATAAATTAATTGAAACTGCAAGGTTATATCAAAAAATGACTGAAGCAACTGAAAGACTATGGACATGGGAGCAAGCAGGATATACAATTCCGTGGAATTCATAAATAAACCGATAAAGCGAATGCTTATTTCACACACGCGATTAAGAACGTAAAACAGATATAGGTGTGATATTGCGAACAAACAAGTTGCCTAATGTTAAGATACCATTATTTCTAGCATTAAAAATAATTCAAACTAAATGTTTGTTCCCGCGCCTTGTCCACTAGTTCCCTAGTGTAATCAAAAGAAACTTTTTTCGATCTGTTGGAACTACAAAACACCATGTTTTCAGGAAAAACACGTGGCTAATTACGCTGAGTGTTTTTGTTTTCTTCCTTGACACCAATGCGCACTCAAATATATATAATAACATTGGGCTTCCTATTGCAAATGGTCCGCCCTTATTAGTAGCCAAACCTCAGTTCTCATAAGTTATTCATATTTGAACCCTCGAGGCTCTCTTCAAGTCATATATGTATTCAATGTGCGCAAGTGCTAACGCTGATTCCTGTTCCTATAAAACCTTTTCACACGTATCTCGCACGCCGACGGTAAAAAATATTCAAAACGTGTTAAAAAATTAACTACAGAAGTTGCGCGCATAATTTTGTAATGCCATTGCATGGTAAGTATAAATATCGGACGACACTTTACGGAGTAAGGCAAGAGACGCGGTGAAACGCGACGAAAAACTCGAATTCAATGCATCCGCCAAGGCGCGGACGGGAGAGCGGAGCAACAAGTTGAAGCAACCTAATGGCGGCCGCATCACGTGATTCCAAGATGGCAGCGCCCATGCGGCGGAGGGTGAAAAGGTCTATACAGGCTAAATAAAATACCGGCTGTAAAAGATTGAGGGGAGAGAAGCTTTAACCCAACGGAAGTGTAGCGCTATGATACATTTTTCGGAAATTTTTTAGCACCCATTGTAAATTAAACGTGCCGTACCCATTGTAAATGAAACCTTCTCCTAAAGCCTCATTTCTAAAAAAAAAAAAAACAAAAAAAAAAACAACAACAACAAAGAAACGCTGTATGTTCCTTTGGCGTCCTATCTGTTCTCATTACAAAAGGTTATAAGTAATCTAATCCGGTATAAAAAACCTTCAGTCATTATCAAAAATGAACTCATTTAGCGATGGAATCAGTTTTTAAATTTCAAGTGATGTGCTAACTAATGTTGGCATCTGCTCCAAAAGGATCAGTGATTACTCCAAACCAATGTTTTGCCTGCTACAGAACCTGGTACAAGCGGTTAAATGGCGTTTCCATCACTGGAGTTCTTAACGATTATTCCGACATCAAATGTGGAACACGACCTTACTTCATCATTGCACCTTTCTGCAAGAGACTTTTCTGGATTTTTTCGTTGTCAACACGAGGCAACTTTCCCTGCCACTTAACTTCCCCTGGTGGACTCGTTGAGTAATGGGTGTATACGACTCTAGCTGCCCCTACCTCACCCGAGAAGTTGCGATCAAATGTCGGCAGCATCGAGAAGAACGGCCTCTTCGATGGCTCCGACGTTTCCGCTTTACGGGTCTCTTCTGTATCGTTCCCGAAGTGGCCGTCCCCATCTGCGTAGCATTCCCAATTGGGATATAATTATAATGCAATTAATGCAAAGGTGCAAGCGAGCTGGACAAGAATGATGAAAATAATCCCTGGAGAAGGGGAACAAGAGGGACAAAGGACAAACAGAAATCTCCAAACACAGCTAGGTGACTGGTGCGCGACCGAAAAAATCTGCCTGGTCCGGGTATCGAACCCGGGACCTCTCCATTACAGGTGGAGCGCTCTACCAACTGAGTTAACCAGGGGTTAGACGTCAGTAGAGCAAACGGGTTTGATCAGCCGCCACCAGTCTAACACCAACAAGGGTGAAGCTTGCAATTTAAGGTTATGATTATAATGCAATTAAATGCAAGCGAGCTGGACAAGAATGATGCAAATAATCCCTGGAGAAGGGGAACAAGAGGGACAAAGGACAAACAGAAATCTCCAAACACAGTTATAGGTGACTGGTGCGCGACCGAAAAAATCTGCCTGGTCCGGGTATCGAACCCGGGACCTCTCCATTACAGGTGGAGCGCGCTACCAACTGAGCTAACCAGGGGTTAGACGTCAGTAGAGCAAACGGGTTTGATCAGCCGCCACCTGTCTAACGCCAACAAGGGTGAAGCTTGCAATTTAAGGTTATAATTATAATGCAATGAAATGCAAAGGTGCAAGCGAGCTGGACAAGAATGATGAAAATAATCCCTGGAGAAGGGGAACAAGAGGGACAAAGGACAAACAGAAATCTCCAAACACAGCTAGGTGACTGGTGCGCGACCGAAAAAATCCGCCTGGTCCGGGTATCGAACCCGGGACCTCTCCATTACAGGTGGAGCGCGATAAAACCCGTTTGCTCTACTGACGTCTAACCCCTGGTTAGCTCAGTTGGTAGAGCGCTCCACCTGTAATGGAGAGGTCCCGGGTTCGATACCCGGACCAGGCGGATTTTTTCGGTCGCGCACCAGTCACGTAGCTGTGTTTGGAGATTTCTGTTTGTCCTTTGTCCCTCTTGTTCCCATTTCTCCAGGGATTATTTTCATCATTCTTGTCCAGCTCGCTTGCACCTTTGCATTTAATAGACCCTTTCCGAAATTCAGTCTGGCCACTTTGATCACTATCATCACCATCTGAAAAATGGTATATGTGCCATACGAATGGCGGCTTTCTAATTACTGATGAAGGAACATGTTGAAGATACTTCTAAGCTGAGGATTCGAGGCCTATACATTCTAGACGTTAGCACGTTGCGAAACCGGAATCGAATGCAAGCGCTGCGTAAGTGTTCATTTCTCTAATTCGAGCCCAGTGAACCTGTTAGTGGCACAAAATCGACTTCGAAAACCCCTTGACTTGGCGCTTCGTTCTGACTGGTTGCATCGTTGTGTAAATCGACACTGGAAGAGATGATCCAGAAAAACCTGTATAGCAAAAAGTTTATTCTCGTCTGCCGTTGACATGCAAAAGTGACGGTGCCCGATAAAATACTGCAGGCTACGGGTTCATTGCCGCCATTCGTATGGCAAAAGTTAAACCGCCATTTCAGCCTCCAGATGGCACTGAATTTCGGAAAGGGTCTATTGCATTAAAAATTATAACCTTAAATTGCAAGCTTCACCCTTGTTGGTGTTAGACTGGTGGCGGCTGATAAAACCCGTTTGCTCTACTGACGTCTAACCCCTGGTTAGCTCAGTTGGTAGAGCGCTCCACCTGTAATGGAAAGGTCCCGGGTTCGATACCCGGACCAGGCGGATTTTTTCGGTCGCGCACAAGTCACGTAGCTGTGTTTGGAGATTTCTGTTTGTCCTTCGTCCCTCTTGTTCCCGTGCTCCAGGGATTATTTTCACCAATCGGGATGCTCGCGGGGTTGCCAGGAGGTAGTTGTGCGGCACACGCGGCCTTTACGACATAGTTCATATTTTGTGGAAGCAGGTTGATCGTCCGGAGAAGGATTCTTCAACGGGCAGCCATGATGCTGATAGCATTTTTAGCGTGCACCTTGTGTGGGGCGGGAGGATGAATGTGGACAATATTATGTAACTCATGTTGTCGCAGTTGTTGATACATGTAATGTAAGCAAACCAGCTAGTTATCTGGGCATACCATCCTCG